GCGCATGTATCAATACTAACATCCTCTTTGACTAAGTCATGGATGATGATCATCTGACTTTCTCAACGAAGCCTACGTGTGTACACTTCACCTAAGGTGGAGATTTTTTTTAAATTTTAAACTTGAGCTCCTTACATCCTTTTGGCAAGCCTTACTTGAGTATGTTCGAGGCCTGTTGACCAGTTAAACTGGTCGGCACTTCATTTTGTTGATCGGATTACCAGTCAAACTGGTCGATATTTCATTTTGTTGATTGGATTATCAGTTAAACTGGTCGGATTGCCAGATTAACTGTCAGACTCCAAGTTAAACTGCTCGGACCTGCTCAAGACGGCGTTGCTCATTGGATACAAGGCACTCGAGGACTAGCTGTGGGGGTATAACCCTAGGTACCCACGGTGATGAACATGGGCTGCACCGCTATGGGAGGTCCAACCCATAAGATCAAGGCCTACGGTGCTCGGCTCTGGTCAGCGTGCACCGCAAGGCAATCAGAAGACATCTTAGCGATGAAGGAAGATATATTCGGATATGATAGATATCGTATTCCTTATAAATACTTACCATATAGCCGAATAGATCTAGACTTAAACCGACTTATAACACTATCCTCCAGACTATATAAGGCGGGTAGGGATCCTCCTCGAATGCATCTCATATTCAATACAATCCACCGAAAACACAGGACGTAGGGTATTACGTCGATTAGACGGCCTGAACCTGTCTAAATCGCTTGTCTACGCTTGTGTCGCCATCCGGCTACTATTACGCGTACCTCCACCGATTCATCTACTACCGTGGGCATACCCCTCGGTAGACTGCCGACCAGATTTTGTCGACATCGACCTGCGTGAGAAAGCTTTCTTCTCAATGCAATGATCGGGGCTGTCTTATCCTGGTGGATGGAGTTTTTTTTTTCAAAATAAAGATAAAGATAAGTCTAAGTCAAAATAGAGAAGCTGCCATACCTTCACACACACAAAAATAGAATTATCATTTTTTAAGAAGTCAAACAGCCTGGTATTTGATCAAAGTTGTAAAAAACATATGAATATTTATGATACAAATAAGTATTACTAATTTAGTTATTATGTAATATATTTTTGGTCACATAAGGACCCGTTTCCGCATGGAATGGCAAGTTTATTTATAATAGTAATGATCAGCTGGATTATTTCCGGCCCTCAATCTGCGCTAAACGAACGAGGCCTAAATGTTTTTTTATCTCCAAATAAATGTTATTAGTACTATGTATGTATGTACAGAGATCTTTAATCTTGGTGACGACCAACAGTGGCAGCCCGTCCTTCCCTCACATTTCCCTGTTCGTTCCACAGTTCCATCGTATATTGCCCGTCGGATTCTGCAGCCCGGTAGCGGATGGCCGCCACGCACGCGTCCAGCAGGCCGTGCCCACCCCTATCCCAGCGGTCCGTCAAGCCCGCCGCCCCCGCCCCGCCCCCGCCCCCCCCCCCCCCCCCCCGCAATCAAAAAAAAAAAAAAGAGAGAAAAACTCAGCGACGACGGGACCGAGAAAACCCGCCGCTCCTGCAACCTCCGCCGGCCTCGACGCGACCCCGACGGAGCACCGCCCTACCTGCGCCCTCCGGCAGCCGCGACGTCGCCCCGCAGCAGCGCGCCGAGCCGCCTCCGCCCACCTCACCCGCGACTTCCGGCGGCGCACCACCGCAGCAGCTTCGCCGCGGCGCGGCGCCGCAGCAGTGCCGTCGGGTTTACCTGCGCGGAATCCCAGCGCCTATCCATCCTTTCTCCCCCGCGGTACCCGTCCACGTCTCAGCCGCCGCCGCATGTGCTCGCCCTGCTTTTCGGTATCCCACGGTGACGACGACTACTGCGCAGCAGCGCGCCACCGTAAGCCGGGTGCCCAGGTCCTCTCGACGGGGCCTTCTTCGGCGACGGGCGCCCCACCAGGTATGCCGACCCCTTCTGTTCCCTTACTGCTGCGCGAAACCAGAGCGCCCAAACCCTAACATATGCTATTTGGCTATTTCTATTCGGATCTCATCTGATTACTGATTTTAGAAGTGTTTATGCCTACTACCCGCTTCGATTTTTTCACACGTATTATCGACCAAACCCTAACCTATGCTATTTGCCTATTTGTATTCCGATCTCATGTGATTACTGAATTTACAGGTTTGTTATTCCCCCAAAATTATCGACCACGCATGCGTGTGAATTTGCAGAAATCCCCACCTCAACCAGGTTGCGCCGTATCGGACCTGGGCGCGACAAATTCGTCCAATCCTTGATTCGTAGAAATCCCCACCTCAACCAGGTTACGCCGCATCGGACCTGGGCGCGACAAATTCGTCCAATCCTTGATTCGTACGCCTGCCTGCTCCGGTCCATTATCTACCAGTGTTCAGCTACATTTATGCAGGTCAGGGTATGTATGACTTCCCATGTATTCTGTGCTCCATGCGTCTGCCAGTATGCCAATATCCTATTCCTGCCCATGAGGCCAATTTGTGGATCCCTGTTTTGAGCATATTCACACAAAGTTGTGCAAACATTTCTTAGGATGACCTATGGACCCGTTTCATCCAAAATCTTATCCATTCATCCAGCCCTTCACCCGACCCTCACCAGGATGGCCTGCAGACCCGTTTCTCTGAACACGGGACGCGTCTCTCCGCGCGACTCAGAGGACGCACCGCCCTCCACTCGGCGTGCAACCGCCCGTCCGCTCCCTCCGTGGCTCTGCCTTCCACCGATTTGCCGTAGCCGCAGCAAGTAAGATAGTTGGCAGCACCGCAGAGCGCCAGCCTCCGGGTCGCGGCTCCGTTCTCCAACCGATGCCCCTACCGCCCCTCCTCAGTCTCCTACCCAAGAAGACGCCGGAGCAGGAGCGCTATATGCAGCAGGAGCGCCGCCGCTGGTAGAAGCTCAGCGGATCTACATCGCGTCTCTACAGATCTGCTCCTTCTTAATTGATTTCTTTGTTTCTGGATCGATTCATGGGAGCATTCTTATTTGGTTCCTTTGTTTCTGGTTTGATTCATGGGTGATTTCTTTTGGCTGTGGATCGATTCATGGGAGAGAAACAGTATAGTCCGCTCTGGCTTGCTCGGGGCCGGGGACCCCATCGGGTATGGAATCCCCGTGCGGGCTCAGGTATGGGGAGCAAACCTCCCCCGCGAGGTTTGATGGGGACGGGGACGGGGATTTCTCTGCCCCACGGGTACGGGGATGGGGAGGCGATCCCTGACGGGGAATTCCCCGTTGCCATCTCTTGCAGCCCACTTGCATCCCTATTTCTAGTATATCTGGTGTAGATTAAAGTCTCCTATAAGTATATCATTTGCATGCTTGGTGTTTTCAGTGAGCTAACAACATAACATTAACATAGAGGCAGTGCCATTTCCTGCTTTAGCTAGTTTTTTTCGGTGACTATGGTCAGCCAAGCTACAGGAAAGTTCTTTTTTTTTTCTGGGGTGTTTGTTTTGTTCCTTTCATCTAAAATCATGAATCAAAATACACAATGACAGATAATGGTATATCCTATATACTATAAAGTTCCTGAATAACACATGGAAGTCAATATAGTTGTTACTTGTTAAGCCTCAAATCCCTTTCACTCTCTTTCCATTTCTTGAGCAATCTTTCCTTGAGATTGTAGCCAATATTTGCCCATGCTTGGATTTTAGTATATTTGATTAGGCGTGAATTTCTTGTCTCTGATCTGGTGAGATTTCCATGTCTGGGATTCTAGACTGGATTACTTTCCTTGCATTAGAGATACATATATTCCTTGGCACAAGATATGGTAAAAAAATGACTTCCATGTAATTTTATTGTTCTTTTTAAGCCCCGTTTGACATGCATAGGCTTATGGCTACTGCCTAATTTTACTGGGTTACATGCCATTTGTTTCCTCCATGCATAGTTTTCTTTTGTGATACTTTGCATTTAGAACAAATTTTGGTTCAACTGGGAAGTGTTTGTTTAATGGATAAAGTGGTGAAAGTTGCTGCTTTTCGCATCATTTTTGTGGTTGCCCCTGTTTGAATTTCTTGTTAATTGCATCATGTTATCATGTATGTGACCATGTTCAATGTAGGTCCCCCCTACCAACCACACACACAAATTGTTGCTCATAGGAAGTTAGATAGGGATGTACCATGTGTCTTGGAGCATATGGACAAGGCTGAATATAGAACCCAATAAACCATAAAAAAACATGTCTCATTGTCTGAACATCTAAAAACCTACAAGCCCTTTAGTTACAGTTTGTTCTGCCACATCCCATGTGGAGCTCCTGCCTTTTCAACCTAATTACTGATGAATTCTGTTTTTTTTGAAGCTATATCTATTATCAAATAATCGTACTGATTGTATGCTAAAAAAATTTAAGGAACACAAAGCTTTCAGGTAGCTTAACTGAAGCTTATGCTGATCTTGTGTGGTCGATGTAGAAATGCTTGAGTACTGGGATAAAATTTTCCTCTACCCATTGTCAACGTAGCTAATTTACAAATAAGACGTAGTAGAGTACTCCCTCTGTCCCATAATACTCGACCTTATAGCATTCTGAAGTTGTTCCAAATTAGTTGTCATTCTCACTTCCCAATGCACCTTTCTTTTTTTCCAATACATCTCTATCTCTACCTCTTATGGGGAGGAGGTAGTATGTTTTTCTTATGTAACCTCTTCATAGTTATTTGTTCGCAGTAGCACATATTAAGGGGAATAGCTCTATGATGCTTTGATCATACAAGTTTATTTTTAGCCTCAGTTAAACACATTTTTGTTAATTACTTGATTGTGTGTTTGATGTCCTGCTTTGAACTATTGCTTTACATAATTTATTTTTCATCCATATTTAGTTTGAATAGTAGCACTTAGATGGACACCTGATTATTAATGTTGAAAGTACAATCCCAATTTTGCTGTACAATATATCTAACTTGTTATGTTTGATTATGTGCAGGCTTCATAAGTATTGTTGCTTTATTGCTGCAATATTATCGTGCACAATGCCATCGACCTTACTTGATGGTCTCCCTAACGAAGTTGCTCTCCAGTGCCTTGCACGGGTGCCATTCTTGTTCCATCCGATGCTTCAGTTGGTTTGCCGTTCTTGGCGAGCATCAGTTTGCAGTGGCGAACTTCTCAAAATTCGGAATCAGATTGACGCGACAGAAGAGCTCTTGTGTGTGTTGGCATTTGAACCAGAAAACATGTGGCAACTTTATGATCCCCTACGAGACAAGTGGATAACTCTCCCTGTCATGCCATCTCAGATTAGGAACATAGCCCGCTTTGGAGTGGCCTCAGTTGCTGGCAAGCTCTATGTAATTGGTGGTGGCAGTGATCGAGTTGATCCGCTTACTGGAGATCACGACAGGATCTTTGCAAGCAATGAGGTTTGGTCTTATGATCCGCTCCACCGAGTGTGGTCCCAGAGGGCTCCAATGCTTGTGGCTCGAGCGATGTTTGCTTGTTGTGCATTGGATGGGAAAATAATCGTCGCAGGAGGCTTCACTAACTGCCGCAAATCGATATCAAAGGCTGAGATCTATGACCCTGAAGCTGGCCTATGGGAGCCTCTCCCTGACCTTCGTCTGGCTCACAGCTCTGCATGTACTGGACTTGTCATCAAGGGTAAGATGCATGTATTGCATAAAGGTCTATCGACAGTGCAGATTCTGGAAGATGGTGGCAGTCATTGGGCTGTTGAGGATTTTTCTTGGCTGCAAGGCCCGATGGCGATGGTTGGTGGAGAGTTGTATGTGCTGAGTAACAGCTGTATTATGAAGCAACGTGGTGAGAATTTCCCTGATAAGATGGTGTCATGCGCATCTGAGTTCCAGAGCAGGATCGGTTTCGGGATGATTGGTGTGGGTGACAACATATATTTGGTTGGGGGAGTGATTGGACCTGGGCCGAGAAACCAATGCATCAAGCCGCTATCTGATGTTGATATCTTGAACGTCACAAGTGAGAGACCAACCTGGAGACCAGGGTCACCGATGACACATTGTCGAGGGAGCATCTGCGGCTGCGCTTTGTTGAGGATTTAGCCTCTTCCCAGTGGTATTCCACCATTGCTGAACTGATTGGAGACGTCCTAAGTTTTATTTTATTTTCAAAAGAGTTGTTAATTACACTTTCCCTTTATCCCCTGTTGTAGCATTGAGGGCATGACTCAATGTCGGATTGCCAATGAGATATATACTATAATATATTGACATGATTGGTGTTCCGAAGTGCATTATATACTTCATCATTTTCATATGGAATCTACATGCTTAGGTGCTGTTTAATGGCACCTTGCTTTTCTGAATCGCTTCTGCTGCGAGATTTTCCCCGTCCCCCCATGTATTGCTGGAGTGGCATTAGAGGATACGGTAATAAGGTTCACAATAATTCTGCGCGACTTTAGCTTTGCGCGTTCTGCTGCCCGATCCAGGATGGCAGGGGAGTCTACGACCCAACAATAAAATATGCATCTCCTCCGACAATAACATCAGGCGTCATGGGATTATTAACTATTAAGCGAAGCTGTGGGACCGTGGAGGTTTTAAAATTATTCTTGTTGGCCATCAGTGTCATCCAAACACAAATTTGGATGTAAAACCAGGTGGGCATCATTGCAAACTAAAAGAACTAACTATTTTTTTTGTGCAAAAACGACAAGTAAATGACTAGCTACAATCGCATCACCGGATCCGATTTTCCTTATTTGATATGTATGTATATGTAACTATGTTTGACTAAATGCACTATCAGCAACGAACAATGTAATGCTTAGTTTTGGTTACATAAATTCTGAATTTAGTTTGTAGCCTCTTAATACTGAAGATCATAAACATATTGCTTATTATAAGCTTTTTTAATAAAAGAAACCGAAGTCTTATTCAAGAGAATATAGCTCCGCCTCCGCTACCTTTTTGCATAGACCACCCTAGTTTCTACTTTGGAGTGATAAAATCAAATCGGATATGGTTGGCGACCGAAAATCGAAACAAAAATATTCCCTCCATCACTTTTAAGTGTCGCTTAGATTTTTGTACAGGTCAAACTTTCTTAAATTTAACTAGATTTATAAAAAATATAGTAACATTTATATCTCCAAATAAATTATTATAAAAGTATATTCTATGATTAATCTACTTATACATATTGCACACCATTGGTATATATTTGGACAAAGTTGAGTCCGTTTGACTCTTGGTGTGCGAGAACAAAACTTAAAAAGAGAAGGAGAAAGTACACCAGATTTTGTAGAAATATAATAGGCTTCCACAAGAAATACAACTTTGCTTCGATTCATGAAGCTTTCTATTCCAGATCGATATCCAACTTTCAGCCGTCTCTTCATCGATTCCCTATAGCTTTACGAAGAGCCTCGCTGATCATCCCGGGCACGACGGCACCGGAGCCAACAAACTGCAGGAATTGAACAGAAACATCATCATCAGTAAAACAAACTCTCGAACCAGCAAGAAGTCAAGCGAGAGCTACACAACTGCTAATTAACCAGAGCAGTATTGCAATTGCCATGTTTTAATTAGTTAGCTGGTGGTGATACTGAGATGATACCTGAGCTCGTATCTTGAGCCCCATAAAGCCATCTGGTGCCGAAGCCTGAACCGAGTGAACGTCCAAGTGGAGGCTCTTGATGGCGTCGAACACCCGTGTCATCAGGAGCTCCTCCCACCGGCATTGCACCTCCAGGAGCACGTCCCTGTCCGAGACGGTGATGGTGACGTTGCTGGTGCCGTCCTTGGGGAGGACCCAGCTGGGATGGCCGTGCTCCTTCTCCACGTCACCGCCGAACTCTGGGCTCTTCCTCTTGGAGCCCGCAGAGAGTTTCTTCCTGACACTCTCATTGCCAATGCCACGGGGCCTTGTAGTTGTAGGCCTTTCTGTTGTGTTGGATGGGCGCGACAGAAGTTCCCTACTGGATTCCAGCTCTTGTACCCTTCGCTGAAGCTCCTTGAGGTAGGCTATCGTTTCGGCGAGGACCGACACTTTGTTCACCTGCCAAATTTTATAAAAAGAAACGTCTTCGAGTTTTGATACAAACGAACAAACGTTCTCAAATCAACACGGAAGGATAAAAAAAATTGATGGCATATATCTTCATTGCCTTTTGAATGGACGGAACCAACGACTTGAGAATGAGGAACATCTCGTTGAGCTTCTCCCGGCGCTTTCGCTCTGACATGACGTGATTCTTGATGCCACTTATTTCCTGCCCTGTTACCGTCGTGCCCCCGCCGCCACCACAGTTGGTCCTAGTAGCTCCGCCGCCGGCCACCACTTTCTTCAGCAATTTCTGCGGCTCTTCGATGACCAGCACCGCTACCGCTTCATCGGAGCACGACTGCGAGGACCTCGTCCAAGCCATGAAACTGGTCGCTCGAGAGCCGTCAACTAGTGCGCTTGAGGTGTCGGCAGCGTTGTTAGTAGTAGCCCCCGGGGGCGGTGGCTGCGGGGACGACGGGACTTCGAAATTAGAACCGTCCACTATGATGAAGCTATCCTCTAGCGGTAGTGGCCGCACGTCCATTTCCTCGCAGAGGCTGTAGAAGTCGTCGATCTCCTTCGTGATGTGCTCCAGGCTTGCATTGAACAGGCTGACGGGTTCATTTCCGGCGGCAGTCATCGTCTCCATGGCATTGTGACCGAGGTCCTCGAACACAACAATGTCTGCGGCCTCGCCGGCTTCGTTTGCTGACGGGTTGGAGCTCGGCTCTTGCAAGTATACCGGACATTGCGGCTCCAAGAAAGCTTCGGTTGCTCGGCTGACCAAGTCCGGGTCCTCCGGCACCTGGCAATATCATTTAGTTTGGTGATACTAATATCATTGTAAAATTTCTCATTTTCACATAATGTAGTATCTATATTGCCAGTGAACAACTGAACATACCGTATCAGTTGTACCTAGCTCAAGCACGCCACCCAAAAGCGGGATGCAGACGATTGACTGCCGAAATTAAATGTTACCGTATCAGTTACATGCTGCAGTTAGAAATCTGCAGACTACACAGTCCGGAAGTGCCCAGTGTTTGTGTTTCAGACGAGACGAAGCATGAAAATCGCTTACTTGAATGGACGCGCTCTGCTTGACAGGTCACACATGCAGGTACCACGCACGTAGTTCAAAATGATTCAACAAACAAAGATTGCAACGGACTAGTGAAAAACATGCATGAAAGGAAAAAATATATAGAGAAGACACGGAGAATGCAGATGGAGCGGTCTTTCCCGTCAGAAAACTGAGAAACAAGCGTGCATACCTTGGCCAGGAGCGCGCGGGGGAAGGCTTTGCTGCCGGTGAGGTGCGCGTTGCACAGCCAGACATGCTCGTTGCTCGCAAAACTCCTGCCCGGCAACCTGTGGCAGCACGAAAAAAAAAAGTTGTTACCATCAGGGGCATCAGCTATATATGGCTTATGCTTGTTGCATCGAGCACGCAGTAATCGATTACCCTTGGCCAGGCCGGAAGGCGTATGTCATGCAGATCACGTAGTACCACTCGGTGTCGCCGAGGTCCTCTGGCGACAGCGAGCCGACGGGCCGCGCCAGCGCCGCGCGACGGTCGCACTTACCGGACTGGAGGGCCTCGTACAGCTCCCAGAGCTGCTCGCTCCTCTGCATGACGAGCTGGTCGGCTGTCAGCTCCACGGAGTTGGAGATCTTCCGCGTCTCCACCTCGCCGTTGTAGAACCCGTCCGTCCACGTCAGCACCCTGCAACCATATTTTTTCCTTAAGAGCAAAATCAATGATAGAGCCAAATGCTTCACTATAAGTTAAAAATAAGAGTTAAGTTATATAATAGTTATCTTCTATTTATCTACACAAATTTTTCTTTATTATTATTTAGTACCATGTCTCACACCGTCTTTTAGGGGTGGCGCCAGCGGATATTCTAGGTATTCCTTAGAATACCATTGTTTTGGTTAAAGAAAGAAATACATTTTTTTAGTGTCAACGGGAAAGACTCCCCACTTGGTTTGTTCATTTCATTGATACCGCTATCAGCCTGGCTTATCAGCCATGGAATAATGTTTTTCTGTCACAACCAATCAGCTTCAGCCGGCTTATCAGTAGCAGAAACCATCAGACGAAGGCTCATCAGAGTTTGAAAGCTTACAACATTATTTATAATTAGAAACAAATATTTATATTAGGTGTTGGCATATATGCCTTGTATTGTGAAAGAAAGCTAGGGAAAAAAAGAAGACAAACTTCCACATCCACAACAAATTCTCCTTACTATGGATTTATATGGTCCTATGTATTATTGTATATTTTCATTGCACAATTTTGTTTATATGGAATACCCTGAACGAACCCATTCCTCACGTATACTTGTTGTCTAGGTCCACAACTGTCTAGACCTATGTGCTTAGCTTGAGATCTAAGTTTTTCCCCACCCTTCTCTCTTGTGTATTAGTAAAAATAGTGACTAGCTTGACTATAAAACCATGACTGTACTTGTTATAAATAGTTATTATATAGTTTTGACTTTTGAGGTAGAACTTTTTAGTGTAACATATCTAGATATGTCATATGTGTTGAAAGCTTACGATTCAGCCTGGGCACTTTTTCACCGAAGACCGAAGACCGAAGACCGAATCGAAACCGAACCGAATAGTCGGTAGTTCGTTTTTTTGGTTCGGTTTTGGTTTCCAGTTCTGTGAAGTTCGGTTTTTCGGTTTGGTTTCGGTTTCTATGCCATACCGAACCGAAAAACCAAAATACCGAGAAACCTGTTTTTTTCCTATTTATTATCAAAACTGATGGAGTACCGTGGTTTATTATCAATAATGAACTGTAAATTTGTAATATTTGATTTGAGCATTGAATTGTTAAGTTTGTAACAGTCTTGAGTCTTCAAATAATATTGATGCAAGTTTGATGGAGAGTTCTAAGTTCATTCGATATTCGGTTTTAACCAAAAAACCGAACCGAAATTGGTCGGTTTTTGGAATTTTAGCAAACCGATCGGGAGGATGAAAACCGAAATCTGAAAAACGAAAAACCGAAGATATGTCAGTTAAAACCGAACGTGTTGAAAGTTTACGATCGATTTTCTTTGTCAATGACTGACTGCTTCAGTTTCTTCCGACGCATCTACTATAGTTAATACGGCGTGACACTGTAGCAAAAGCTTTTTTTTTCTCTTTATTCAACCCAAAGTGAACTAGCAAGTAGGAGAAACCGGTGAAGCCAAGTCAGATGTGCTTCATTGGTTTTTGCTACAGCAGTACTATAGCACGCTACAGTGCAAGCTGAAGCCCCTACAAGCTCACCAAGAAAGACCCTAAAATATATCAGTTTTTACTCCATTAGAGCAAGTATAATAAGGCTTAGTCAACAGGCTGCACCATGTTACACGTCATCAAAATCCTAAGTGGAGCAGTGAGAAGATAAGAGAGAGAAGGAAGCGGGCGGTTCATGAAGTGCCCGGCTGAATCACGTGTTACGAGATAGAAACGCATGCTTTCAGCCCGATGCCGGCGATAACTCGGCGCTTGCTTGACCCACATCCCAACATCCTGATCCCGTGCGCCGATACTTCCCCCCCAGCTCCCACGCCTGAAGGGTCACACGGGATACTAGACCGCACTAGATCGTGTATGTACACGCACATATTAAATGCTCACTCTGTGTTGAACCAACCTAATAGCCGGTTAATGGTTAGCCTATTATATCAGTTAGCTACAATATTAGCTTTATATGACGTGGCAATGTCATACAGCCGACTGTCGGCTAAGTTATTAACCATGCTCTTAGATTGAAAGTCCAAGAGTCAGATGCATCCGTCTTTCGTTGTCCCCTTTAGTACAAAATTTGGGTGAAAAGTGATGATGTCATTTGAGTTCTTAAACGTTTCATTGCTCTGTCTAGAAACTTTTGTTTCCTGCAACATAATTTCTTCTTAGCACCTACTCTCTCCTTCCCATATTATATGTCGTTTTAACTCTGAGCATTAGAATTAATAAGGAATGAAAAATGTGTGATCCACAGTAAAACGAAAAGAAGAGAAACATGTATAGAGATGTATTAGGAAAATGAAAATAATACATTGTGAAGTGAGAATGACAGATAATATAAGACAACCTTAAAAGCCTAGAATTACTCTTATCATGGGACGGACAGAATAGAGATTTATATTTAGAATAAAATAATTATGCCGACAGATAAATACTGTTCCTCTTGATAAGACAGAGATATTTAATGCGAGATGTGCATCTATCAGCTTTACAACAGGAATTTCTCTATGTTACTTTAACCTAAATATTAAATACAGATCTCTGAGTTATTATGATATACATCACAAATATTTTATTTTTTTAGTTAGCATAATTTTGAAATATAAATATTTGATCAAATTGTAGTAGATTTTCACAAGCTTATATGACCTCAACATTTAATTTTGTTGTCGTTGAATATTCAGTAGTTTCACTAAAGAAGAACAGAATCGTTGTTATTTGCTAGAAAGTCTGACTGAAGAATTTTCTTGATAGACAGAACCGTAAATGGTTTGACTAGTTTCCAGTTGCTCCTACACTTCTCGTATTAGTCTAGTCTATGATCAAACTTGAGCTTTGCTACGATACTCTCAAATAACTGTGAGACGTTTGTTTAGTTAGATCGGATGGTTCCGATTACATAGGTAATATGTGAAATATATTTATTTATTTTATAAAATAGATTAAATAAGGAAACTTTTAGATTAGAAAGTCTTTCTTGAGATCTAATTGATACATACTTCCTCCGTCCCAAAATTAGTGTCATTCTCATTTTCTAAGAAATCAAATATTCTGTTTAACTTTGACAATATATATATATACACACACACAACAAAATATTAACATTTATAGTATATAATTAGTATCATGGTTGAATCTATTTTTATAATAAATTTATTTGGAGATATAAATAATGCTAATATTTTTCATAAACTTAATTAAATTTAAGAAAATTTGACTGACACGAATACCATAACAACACTTTTATTTTGGAACGGGTGAAGTACATGAATTGTTATAATGTTAGGTATGGCAAACCTTTTTATTTGGAAACTTTAATTTAGACGTGACATATGTGAGGCTTGCTTGTAACATGTATTCATGCACCCTAATGTGATTAACGTGACATGTTTGTATATTTTGATGACCCCTTTGCACGTACGTTAACATATGCACTGATCGCTTCGACACCTAATAAGCGTTTTTTAATTTTATGCAAAATCTCATGTACGTTGGGCTGTTTGGTTTGAGCCCTGGCCTGGGGAGCTGCACCCAGGCACATGCATCTGACCCCAGGCGTCCAAACACCAACGCCTGGGATGCATGCCTGTGCCAGGCAGATTTGCCAGGGCGTCGACCAAACTAGCCGGTACACGATGAAGCATCTAAAAGGCATGGCAGCGCTACTGGTCCTCCTGTATACATGCATGAACTCATAGTATGATATTGGTACATGTGTACGCGTACATAAAACCATAATACGATATTGGCAGCCAAAGAACATACTGTACGAATGTGGCTAAACTTATGTTCACCGGAATATTTCTGAGATGGATGGAAATTCTTCAACGTGAGGACCGAGGACAACAGAAAAAAAAAACCATGAAATAAAAATGGAATCCCGCTTCCGTGCCTCCTGCCTCCTGGTGTGCCCGAATAAAAGGATGGTTGCTTCTGTTTCTCTAGGGAGTAGGGACTATGGATTTGGAGGGATTTTTTTTCTTTTCTTGAGTTAATTATTTAACTAATTTATAAAATCTAAATAAGTCAATGACTCATGTTTATTTG